ATAAGAACTTTTTTTGGAGTTTCACAATGGTTGGAAAAGGAATAAAAAAAGTTGCGAAAAGTTTACATATCCAATAATTCCTAGCTGCTCGATATTTTAACAGTGTTTATTTTACCAAAAACAGCCCAGACAGTACCAAGCTGTGCAGCTAAAAAGTGTTCGCTGGGAAAAAACGCAGTTGGTGAGTAATAATTCTGCAGCAACGAAATCGATAATTTAATAACAATTGAACAAGTATTTTTTAAAAAAAATTAGTAACTGAACCATTAACGGGAATAAACTTAGCTTGTTATGTTAAATTTAAAATTTGTACCAACAAGTCGGGCGGACAATAGTTTATGAAAAGGAAACGATGACGATATGATAAACCCAGAAAAGAAGAAATCTGAAGTGTTACAGTCAAGAATTGATTCATTTGTGCTAATGAGATAGTGCTTTGATCAAAAATGAAGAAAGTTTAAAAACCCGTTCTAGTAAACCCCAGACAATGCATCATAAATAGAAACAAAAAATTGAAATACAAAACTGAAGTTGGTGGATAACAGTTTTGCACTTTTTTACGGCTTCACCGGAAAAATAATAAATTTTTTCTGTTTTTTTTAGTAACTTTTTTTTCACAGGCAAAGAGAAGTGACTATAATTTTTAAGCAATTTGGTATTGAACACGACATAAGTAGATGGCGTAATCAGAAATATGCTTTAAAAAACATAACGATTAATCACGGGGACTTAAATTGCAGAAGTTAGCTCTATACGGCTAGGCAGAAAAAGCGGTAAGGATTTGTAGAAAACCTAATTTGTTCTTTCCGTTAATAACTGACAGCAGAAGACCAGAAAATGGCTCCTGACATCTGGAATAAAGTTACATCTTTTTCCTTTCAGGGAGGCTGGCTTTCAGTCTGAGATTGTTACCAAATCAGTAATGAAAAGTAAACCATCATAGACTTTATACATACCATTATATACAGATCATCTTCTTTCTTCCAAATATGAAAAACTTATTTAACATTATCACATAATGAAAAATGCTTAACTTATTCATAGAAATACATCATTAGTGATTGCTTCTTAGATGGAAGCAACCTTTTTTTTAAAGAAATCAATGTAATCAATTTTAATCAGAAGTCTAACTTATTAAGCAATAAGTAACAAATTTTAAAAGGTCAAAAAAACAGTAACGAAAATGAACGGGTGAGAACAACATCAGGTTTGTGGGTTTTTGATAATCATATAATACAGAAATTTTAAGTATCTATTAATAACAGAATATATTAATTAGCATTCAGAAACCCAGTTAGGCAACACTTACTATACTTGTTTTCAGCAGTTTAAATGCATATTATGTTCAATTTGGTATCTTTCAAAGTTTTGCTAATTGAAGGATGAGATGTACATAATAGCAAATATACGATAAAACATTGTCATTGTCATGTGCACCGGAAAAATAAGGTTATCATTGTTGTTGATTGCAATATGAGGAATTTTTTGAGCAATATTTGAGATGCTTTTGACAGTTAGAAAATTTATGTTGCTTTATAGACGACGGCGAAAGGCCGTTGGTGACATTGAAGTTTTTCGATATGGTTTAATGAATGAATAGTAGTCCACCAAGAAGTGTTTTACTTGATCTTCATCTACTACGCTATCTTTAGAACACCTTGGGCACAAGAAATGTGGTGGAAACTGATATTTTGGAAATTCTGGATCTTCAGTATCCCGACTACGTAGTCGTGCGTTTACAATGTTATGAGCTTTCCAAAGGTAAACATAAACATCTTCTGGTGCATCCACCTTCAAAAAAATTATTTTGATAAGTCACTAATCACTGTAAGTTAAAACTATTTAAGAATCATTTATAAGTTCTTCAGAAGCTCAGTTTTTAACTTTACCAATTGGCGTCTAGTTAAATGGAGAGATTTAGTGTCACTGTGACTGTTGCTGTTTTATTGTACAGAAAGAAATACTTAGAGCGCAATTTTGAACAGGATAAACATTTCAAACAAAAACAATATTTTTAACTAAGTCAAAGGTTTTTACTTCTGAACAATTTTCAATAATAATAAACCAAAATTTTAAACAGTAGTTTTATTATTATCTCTGAATAATTTTTGTTTTTTTTCTTTCAATGGCAAGTTTCGATGATTTCGGTTTATGATGTTTTTAGTACTTTTAAAAAGAAAACGTCTAGGTTCTTTTGTGAACTTTATCTGTTCTATATGCAATATTGAAAAAGATTAAAAGAAAAAATTGGAAAGCCTACATGAGTTTCAATTGGAAAAGTTTTCATTGTCATCTTGAGGAAATGATCTCGACAATACTTGCAACCGAAGAACTCACTAACCCAATCTCGTATGGCGTACAAAGCTTCAAGCGGTTCAAAATCTTCTCCTAAAAAAATTTGATGCTTCTTTCCAATGAAAAAGCATTTCTGCTGCAAAGCACTTTAGCAATGACCATATCATTCAGCGGAAGTTATACGCTATTAGAAGACTCAAAGAAAGTAAATCAAGATATTTGTCAAATCTAAATAGAAGCTAGCATTATTGTAAAGTTTACTTCCAAAACCATTCTTATAAGCTTGAACAGTAATTGCATGGAAAAGAGTCCATAGACCACAGGTATATCCACGAAACTGGGGAGTAGAACCGGCACAATGTTCCCATTCGTCATTTATAGGGAATGGATTGAAGTATTCAGCCTAAATGTTGTTTGATTTGATAAATAAAAAATCAAAAACTAAGTTGTTTTTGGAAGTTATTTTTTTTTTTAAAATAACTGCTGTACTAACTTCTCGTCGAGCAAATTCACCCTGATAATCAGACAGTTGAATTTCATCAAGATGTTTACGTTCTTCAAAGAATGTCTTCATATTCTTTAGCAAAGCAACTGCATAATGACTGTATGCCAATGTCTAAATCAATTTTTATTTTATTTTTTTTTATTTTTATTAGTTGAAAGAATTGAAAGTTAACAATTTTTTAAATAGTATTACTTAGCAAAATGATTTGTTGTTAAAGATTCAAGAAACAAAAAATACAAGAGCATTAGATTTAGGCTTTTATCTATTTAAGAAAGAAAACTTGAAAAAATATATAGGTTGCAAATTTGTTTAGTTAAGAAGGTGAATTATTTGTTACCTGATTAACGCCTTGAACTTCGGTGATAGAATTTAGTGGTAAATTCTACAAATAAAAAAAAACAAAACAACATTGATAATATATTGATTATAAAAAAAAAAAACTAATACATTGATAAAACAGTTCTCCAAGATGGAGTTTTATTTTTTGTGAAAAAATCTAGGAATGAATAAAAAAAATAAACTTTTAGAAATGCTGACTCTGCTCTAGAATTTGGGGCTAAGCGCCCAGTTGTTCATTCAAAAAGTCATTCTTAAATTTTGATATGCATAAATAAAAATTAGTAAAATTTTTTAGACTGCAAAAAAAGAAAATAAAAGTGAATATATTAAATTCTGCAGAAAAACTAATATTGTCTATTCCAATGAAACAGTTAAGCAACCAAAAATTACATACATTAATTAGCAGATCAATGAAGCCGATCAATGCACTAAGGTTTTTGCCACTTAAAACACCACCACTTCTTCCGACTTCCATAAATAATGCATAACGTGTAGCTTTCAATATATCCAATTCAGAAACGTAATATTTTTCTCGACATCTAAATTAGCTTTTTTTTTTTTTTTTTTTT